AAAATCAACTAACAATGTTGTAAAGATGCAGGAAATGTCAAACAAAAACTTTTACGTATCTTATTAGTTTAATAATGAGACTGTTAACATGCCTAAGAATTGAATCTGAGGAAATGTGAAAAATATGCTGAAAAGTGAAAAAACAGCATAACTTCTACAATAATGGCCCGATCATGCTGATTTTCGAACTTGACCTGCGTTTTATGAATATTCATCAGCTCTGTAAATATAAAGCCAAAAAGTAAAACTGCCTTCCACTTATCGTGTTTACAAGGAAAGTGCACGGCGACGGCATCGGCATCGGCATCGGCATCGGCATCGGCATCGGCATCGGCGACGACAGACGCAGGTGATGGCAATATGTACAGACACATCTGTGTCTGTACATAAAAATGACATATTAATAACTAAAATTATTTATTTTCAAATATATCAAAGAAACCATTCTTGCTTGCTGCATTACGTGGCCTATTACTTATGGATTTATTTTTAAGTAAACATGTCTACTGGATTATGCACATGATACATAAGCGATATTGATTTTTTAATCTGACATTTCAAAGAAAATTGATCTCGCAGACTTTTTACCTGTATATGTCTGATATTCTCAAAGAAGTCCACTTCCAAGTCTTCGTTTGTTAAGGCCAGAAAGTCTGCGAACTTTGGCTGAGTTTGGAAATGTCTGACTACCAGAGAAAAAAGATTGAGCATTTCATGTCTCACCACCTAAAAGGAACGATATTAAAAAGATCATAACTAGAAAAGGACTAAGAGAATGTAGACCCATGCCAAGGCAGGTCAGCTCTCATTCTTATTAATTAACTAGCCAATTTACTAATCATAATCTTGATTATAAGTTAGCCCATTTCTGACCTATCCTTAGACTGTTATTAAAATCTGTCCCTCACTATCCGAGTTAGGCTTTATAACTAACAAACCAACAAAGGCAAAAATACAACTTTGGTGGAGGTAATAAACAAACCCCTTATCATTGCAATAAATTAGAATCAAGTTAAATAATTTAATTTTTCAAATTAAAAAATAAAAATTTACCTCTTTTGCCATCTTATAAATCCATTTTACTAAATAAGGTAATCCTTGCTATGTTAGCAAAAAACTCCAAGAATTCATGATATAATTGCAGTGATAGAATATTAGCATTCTACCCATAAAGCAAAAACAGAATTTAAACTGTAAATTCACATATAAAGACACAAAACTACTGCATAACTTATATCTTACCTCAGTCTTGTTTTTCAGTCCTAGCTTAATCTCTGGTATAAGTGTGTCTAGGACAACTTCCACAAAGACTTCATTATCACAGTTTTTACTGGCCAATGTCTTAACCATTTCTTGAAGGGTGAATGAAGCATTGTCTCTCAAAGAAAGGTCATCCACCTATGACAAAGGAATGTTCAAATACTTATCTTTTAAAATGCAACAACATAAAAATTGATATACAACAATCAATAGTGTTCTGTGCACAATTAATGTTTTTCATTTTAAGTTGAAAAGTCATCCCATATGGTACATTAACATTGTAAAAGGAAATGGTTTTACTACATTTTATATAATTGTAAATTATTTGGATTTTATATATATAGTTATTTGTTCTTAGGTTTAAATGCAACCAAACTGAGAAGTAACAAAATGCATTTATTTTTCTTTACTAATTTCACCTCATGGGATTTTAGTAAAAATTCAAAGACCTACATTGCCTATACAGAAACAGCAGTTATAAATGATCATTCTCAAAAACTGCACACTAGGCTCCATTTTTTGGATAATGTGGTTGATCTCTTTATAAGCATCTAATCTGGTCATATAGTCTGGTTCTTCAACCCGCCTTGCATCCCATGCATTCAGCTGGAAAATAAATTTTTTAAAATATTACAGTCAATATTAAACAGACAAATTTATGAAAATTGCTGAAAGGTGCTTCGTGTTACTGAAAAGGTGCTTTGCAAATTGTGTTCACAATTAAAAAATATTTATTGACAGAATAACAGGTACTGTCACAAACACCTGTAAATGAAAAGATTACAGCTTTCAAATTATCAAGGAAAATGTTACTGCAAGAATATTTCAAAACCAAGAGATTCTTTTTTACCTTGTGCACAATATCAGCCATTATGCTTATGCTTTCATCTCTCTCTGAAATGCACTGTAACAAGAAAATTATCAATATAGTGACATGTATCTTGGCAAAAAGAAACCTTTAGAAACTAACTGCTTGAAATCTCCAGTTTAAATGTAAGCGACATGTAAATATCTTTATAATCACATGTATGACATGTATGTATATATTAATATGGTCAACATGGATTTTTTTCTATCAAGTTTAATCAACGTGCACCTTCATACTATTGCAGCATTCTCAAATAATTCAGTGAAATAATACATAGCATTTAAATACCTTCAGTACGTGACATAAAGCTGTTCTGGAGACTCGAGAATGTAAAGAGGAGAATAATTTGCACAAAGGACTGAAATAAAGACAAGTCTACATTAAGCAATCACTCCTTACAAAGTTTCTATAAACAAATCTGTCATTCATTTTGAACAATGCAAAGGATGAACCTATCTGGAACAGAGTTTATTTCAAATATTTCTAATGAACAAAAACCTAGTTACATTTTTTATCTTCAAAAAAAAAAAAAAAAATGCAAACTGTTTTATCTCATAATTCATACTTACGGAACAAATTCCTTTGGATCATCTACCAGTCTAATGAGATTTGCCACTGTCTGCAGAATATCCACCTCAACGTCCTTCGGAAGTAAAATATGAAATGATAATCTCGTTTGTTACTTAAATGAAAAAAGATGAACAGATTTTCTCATTACACATTGTATAACATTTAGGAAGCCAATAATTTCAGTTACAAAGGATTGAACAAAATTCCCTAAATTTATGTGTATTTGAATGAAGGATTATTATGATAAGCCAATTCATTTTTAAGGAGCTACCAAGAAGGTCGAGATCTCTATTTGAACAAGAATAATGTTTATAACAAATGCACTGACACACACACTCACATACAGACACCCCTACCTGGGTTCTGGTGATATTCCTTTCCAAAAATGGAAGCAACAGCTGGATCAGTGTGGCACTTTGGTCTGAATCCTTCACAAAGGCACTCAGCCTAAAATAATACAAACGGCAGGGAAAATGAACATTTCAAAAAATCTAAAACTGAAACTACTAAATAATTCTTATTTGCAAATGAATCTAGTTTGTTAGTAAACTGACAGTGTGTGTAAATAAAAAACAATCAATAATCTATATTAATTATAATTAATTACTACCATGTATCTTTTTATGTCTAGACAAAATTTAAAAGTAAATGAAATGAATGCAATAAACTAACCTTGATAAAATGTTGAGGTCTCTGGTCGGAAAAGCTCTCTTCTTCAAGGATTGTTTTACCAAGTTTTCAACAATTTGTTTCAAATATTGTAGAATGATTGGCACATGTGGTAGCAGCAGTCTACATCCATACTTAGTAGGTTCTGGTCAAAGTATAAAACTGATTTTAACATACAATTATTGCCGAATTTTTGTCAATAGAATAATGTTTGCAGTCAGGATACAAAGTTCGATCCCATACTACCAGGACTCTAAAAATGTTAGAAATGTTTGAAAAAATAGCAAATACCCATAAAATTATGTCTTGTGCATAGGCATGAATTTCCCCGACAGGTTTTATTTGTTGATGCCTTTGAATTAAGTTCCACCACAATTTAAATCACTCCACAAATTGAATCATTTGCAGCACTTTTGCATTTTTTTAAAATCATAACTGTAGGTAACATGCTGCATCCAGGTCCCTTAATGGCTTATCATAATTGATGGAATTAACATCTGAACATGCAGCTCTACCAAGTAAAGAACAATTCAATCAAATGTCAAATCAAAATACAACATCATTCTACATCTTATACAAAACCTGTTCATACAGATAAAGAAAAAAAAAACTACCGAGTCTGAATAAATTTTTAAAAAACCACCAACAACCGTCATACCAACCTCCTATCTGTTCAGCCTGTGGTGCTACTACCAGGTCATGAACCTCCAGATCAGTAATCCTGTGTTTTACCATTCCCTCCATCTCTTCTTCCTCCTCATCTTTCTCCTCCAGGGTCAACAGGTGCTCGATTATGTCCACTATCATGTTGGTCACTGTGCTACTGGCTGTTGGGGCCACCAGTAGTTGGAACACATACTTAAGAGGGGTAAGCTGTTTGTTCCCTGACTGATGCTTTCCAAGGAGAGGGAGATACCTAAATAAAATGTTGTATGCTAATTCATAACTTACACCACACAAGGTTTGATCAAATACTTCACAATTTAATAAAAATCCTTTTAAATGTCACTAAAAATCTGTAATAAGGCTTAGCAGTTTTCATGTATGTAAGCAACAGAACAGAAAATATATCAAGCATGTCAGATGTTATTCTTGATATGAAAAATGTAGTTTAGTGTCAATATTTTAATCTTGTCAACCAAAAAGTAATAAACAGTTTCTTTAAACTATCTAAAGTTAAACTTGATTCATAACACCATGGTCTTCGGTTTGGCCAAAAGACAAATCTTAAACACCATATCCAAATGATAAAGTATCTCGTGCTCCCTTTTTCTTGCCACAGCAAATATCTGAAATATCTGCCTTTGGCCACTGCTTACTTATACCTGACACTCTGGCTCCAGGCGCAGATCAATTTGAGCAATGGCGTTGGATGGCTCAGACTTTCATGTGGCAGCCTCTCTACCTGGGGCCACACCACTGCCTCAAACACAGCATCTATGTCTCGCCAGCTAAATGAGTAGTTGTCAAAGGATGAGAAGAACTAAAAAAAAAAAATTAAAAATTAAGAAAAAATAATAATAACAAGCTGCAAGACACACAATTTGCCAACAGGTACCTACCTACCACAGACTTTCATATAGAAAACAAAACTGATTTAGGCTTGCATTATTCCTGAAACAGTCACATCCTTATCATTATGGCAATTGGCACATTCTTCAACAAAATCTGTAAGTTCATAAATTCCACTTTCATACAGCATACCCCAAACACATTTTTTCATGAGATTTTTAAAATCGACTCTAATCAGCTGGAGAGTGAAAGACATAAAAATGGCTACCTGAGTAATTCTGTTAATGGTCAGCTGCCTGAGTGTCTTTAGTGTGTTGATAGCCTTGGGATGGATGTCCACCCTCCTGTCCAGCACATGGACGCAGACACCAGCCAGACACACCAAGATCTGATACATGGTGGGCAGGTAGCTGTCTATTAGATTGCCAAGCTTACTGAAGATGACATCCATTGTGTTCAAAAGACTAGAAGGAAGTTAAAAAATAATGACTTATTTTGTGATTAAGAGTGATAATTTTATCTAGCATACCTTCAACAAACTTTTTAACACATAAATATCTCACTTAAATAAAATAACAAAATCAAGACCATGCCATTCAAATTTTTTAATCTAGGAAAACTAATGGAAGTATTCTTAACACTATAAAAATAGTTTACAGTGTCATATATGTGCTAGTAGTGATAGATATGAAAAATTACTAATGGTAGTGTTTAAAGCTAGTTATTTTCCTCTGCCAACAAATTCTTAATTGTTAATCCGATAGCATTCAGCAAGAGTCCCCATGGAGTTGGATCTATCTATGTAGAGCCTTTAGTTTGCCACTCAACAGGCAACTTGGTGTAGACAGACTTCCCCATAATAATGACTCCTCGTGCACCCTTGGAGCCTTTCCATAGTGCTCGAGCGCCCCCAAAACAATTTTTTAAAAAATAAATCACTAAAATGAAAGCCTCACCCTTGTTGTTTCCTGAGAGGCACCATCTTACTGAGATCAACTGAAGCTACAGCTGCTCTTAGAGCACTAAGAGCATCACCTATATTGAAAAATAAAATACATCAAAGAATCTTTTTAAAGACTCACGTATCAAAACTATCTACATCATTTTTTTTCTTTTGAATGCCTGGAAATAAGCGTAGTTTCATCTGCATTACATTTCTCTGGAATGATACAGTTACACAGATAATTTCTGTCTTTTTTTACAACTTCTTTATTTTACAGCTATTACAGGTGTAAAAATTGCAGATAAAAAATTTAAACAGTTTTTGCTATGATAAAACTGAACTTCCTACCAGTTGCAAAGTTGACAAAAGGTTGAAATATGAGATCCATGAAAATTTTGAGTTCATGCTGCTGGCAGCCTGCCAGAAAGCAAAAAACAATGGCTTTGCGGAACTGACTGTGCCCCTTCCCAGCAGAGTCCTTGCCCGTCTTGTGGAGCATTTTTCCATAGAGAATCCTGGGAAAGCAAACATCATATCTGCTAATATATAGAACATGAAGCACAAGAATTTTTAAACTACTGATTGTGGTGTATCATATGCATATAGGCCTAAATCTAAATTATTTTAGAATGTGAAGAGATAAACTCATAGAGAAAATGTATAGAGCAGCATCATTGGGAAATTTCAATGTTCCCAAATCATTGCCAGTATTGATTTTTTACATCTTATACTTCATGATACTTTAAACTAGTACAATACTGATACAAATATTGTGGTAATTGGAAAATGTCTTTCACTTACAGCCAGGTAAGCTAGATGGTAAGAGCCTGATATAATTTTGTTATTTCCTCAACAATTATCATTGGTTTGATATTGTATAATAAATAATGTAGGTTCATTTCAGGGTGGTTGTTCTCAATAAACCAATGGGCCCTAACATTGCTAAAGGAAGCCAATGTCAAAGGAAGACGCTAAAAAATGGACATTTAGCAAAGTTTTCTATCTTTGATTGATAATAATTTGATTTTTTGGGCAATTTTAGCTGAATAAATTTGCTCTTTTAAAAAGACATAATTCCAACTGTATAAATTTGCTAACTAAAAGACAACTTCTCAGCACACTATGAAAACTTTTTTGTAGAATGCATATGGTTTCAT